CAGCTCTGTTCCAACATCACATTGATTGTAAATGTCGATGTTGTTTAACCTTGTACAAATGACCATTTCACATGCAACTTTAGCCTGATATTGAGTATTTTCAAATGAATGCAAGCTTGCAACACTCGTTTGACTCGTTTGGCTCGGATTCTGGTTGATATTTACGATATCGATGCAAAGTTACATTCCAGAATGAATGTGTATAATCTGATGTGGTCAATCGTTTGGTTTCATTGTTATCGGTCATTGACACCAGTGATTGTGTTGATTGCAAATAGTAGTCCAAGTAATCATGCATAAACAAACACCAGATAGTCACTGATAAACTGATGGTATCCAATGTATACATGGCACATTGTATAGTTACATTTAATTGCCAGCAATGTGTGATTGGATTACTCGAGTCATCAAACAGTTTTCAATCAGTTGTCAAGAACAATCAAGTCATGTCCAATAAACTGTCTGATGTGCAGGTGTTTTGGCATTGGTCCGTTGGTCCATTAGTACGATTGTTGGTTGGCAATTCGGACTTGTAAATGACAATTGATTCTTGATTGTTGCATTGGTATCCATATGTGACTCATTGTATACGGAACAGGACTGACAAGTGTGTCTGAATTGATGACAAATGATACAGCCTATCCAACAAAAAGTAATACATTGATCGTGTCTGTGTGGAAATAAGCTTTATAACTTCCACTTTTGAATGTATGAGAATCAACATTCAAACAACGGATACGTCCAATGACTCTTGCAAATGCATTGATAGAGTGTTGTTGAATAGTTCGAGTTCTTCTTCCAGAGCAGTGTCACTGAGAGTAGCAACTTGTCTTATCCATGCAATGAGTTGTATAGACATTACAATTGTAATTACTTGGTTTTGTGCCTGGTCAATATATTGAAAAGTCCCCCGACATGTAAACAGAAGAGTTTGTATATTGTTTCAAGCTTTCATAAGAACTTCAACTGTTGCCTTGAGGTCCTGGACATATTATTGTAAATCGTTTTCAAATCTCATCTTAAGGGAATTGTTCACTCGTGTCAGGAAATAGAATTGCTGGTGCATTATTGAGCACAATAATTATAGGAATCTGTTAATAAAATGGCAATATTTAATTTAATTTTCTACAGTAGGATAAGGAATTTTCACAGCGTATTGGTCGATATCTTGAGGTGTTTTCTTGGTAAAAGAATGGTAATACAGTGGAGGAAGTAACCAATACAACTTCTCGGCACCTTTTCCAAGCATCTTTAAATCTTCTTCGACACCGCTTTTGATATCATGCCTCTTGCCAACAGTCATTTGAAATGCACCAATTCCAGGAATCCAAGCATCAATTGCTGCATAGTTTTTAGTTTTTGGCACATATAGCTGATCTTGAGTCTGACCCAGTAAAACTCTATCAACAACTAGTTTCACTGAAGATGGAATGGTAAGAGTCGTTTCTTCAGGCTTGGATTTCTCATTTCCATGCACCAACTTGTGGCTGTCAAACATCTCCGTTCTCCAGCATTTCAAAAGCATACGGTTCAAAAATATATCCACACAGTGCAGCAGTAAGAGGGTTTCCTTCACACGATGCCAAGAGTTCCGCCATCTTGCGTTTCGCTTCTGTTCCTTTGATTTGAACAATGATATCCAAGGCTGTTTGAGACGCAAAAGCAACAGATGATTCTGTGAATGGGTCAACAGATGTCATGTGAACCAAAGAATGGACAACTTGGGATTTGTCTGTAATAGTCGAGTTCAAGCCAATTATCTTGATGCAATCATCGAGGTCGCATTGCCTACATGCTGCTTGAAGTAACTTTGTTGGATCACCACTTGTATCTTCCAAAACATATCGAGGTATTCCACCAAGAATTTTGAAGCGATCACGCCAGTCAATAACAGTAACAAAACAAGGGGTGATAGTTTCCAATTCTATTTCAGTCCATATCGGCATGTAAAAGATCCGAAGATGAGGAAATTTTTTGAAGTCATTGACCATTTCTCGTCGTGGGGAGGTTGACAAGACAAATGAGCAGTCTTCATAGGGAAGTGCACTTAGATCCGCTGCGTTCTTGCCTTTGGCGTCAAACAAACACCACAAGTCAGATGCCCAGAAGTTTACGTTGTTGTTGGAAGGTAGAAAATTAGGGTAAAACACACCGCCTTGACCATCGTAGTAGATAGTGCTAGGATGATAAATGAATAGCACACGTTTGCCTTCCTTGACAAGCTTCCATAATAAGTAGATGAGAAATAAAGACTTGCCAATGCCAGGAGTTCCTGTGATAATAGCTCTTTTGATGCCAGGATTGATGCGTGATGCAATGGATTTATAACTGTCCCGAATGTATAGCTTATTCAAAGAGGTGGACGGAATATCTTGTCCAAATAAAATCCATCCATCATTTTCAGTAGCTTTGCAAACGTTGTTGTAGAAGAGAATTTGACAGGGCGAGAACAAAACACTGGTTTCAGTACGCTGCTTTTTGCGAAAGAAGTATTGATGGTTTGCTGTTGATAAGGAAGTATAACCTGCTTCAAAAAGATCAGTTTGAGTAGGCTGTCTTGAAGATGGAGGGGAAACACCAATGACAACACAGGAGCCATTTTCAGCAAAGTAGTCTGCAGCGAGAGAGTTGAAAGCAGCCCAAGTGTTGATTAGTTGGTCCTTGTTGCTGTCAGTGTATAGTTGGAGTTGAGGAGCACCAATGTCAGCCATAGCAGAACCATACTCAGACTTGATGGCACTCTTTAATTTGCCAAGTCTACTGATTCCAGTCACATCGATTTCAGTAGAAATAGTGTTGTATTCAACATTGAGGAATCGTTTTGGCATTTTATCAAAAGAAAAAGAATAAAAAAGCAATTTATTTGTCAAATTATAAAACAAAAATCGACTTTTTAATCGAGTCAAAATAACAAAATTTTGGGATATTTCAAGACAATTCACACGATTTAAATATTTGGAAATTAGTCAAATTTACACCAGAATTAATGTTTCATTAATGTGAGACATTACTAGTGTGAGAGTGTTGACTTGCATTGTGTGAGACATTAGTAGTGTGTGAATGTGAGACATTTCTGAATAGTTTAACAATCAAAAACCATCAACAATGACGTTTGAACTGGAATTCACATGACTTTCTTGTCTCCTATTTTATGAACACACTCTTTTCCTTGTTAATAAACAACACAATCGAATATTGATCCATTCCATCACACCTTCAATCAACTGTAAACACACTTGACAATAATGACAACCATCAATATGCCATCATATGTCCACGATCCTCACAAGTAATATGAACTCAATTGAAAACGCTGTTATTAGCGCATTTGGTCAGTTGCAGAGTCAAACCAATGGCATTGTTGTCATGATGACCAAACACGACAATGTCATTCGATCATTACTGGAACAGATCTTGGTCAAACTGGACTCTGGTTGCTCACCAACACCTGTAGTTGTTATACCAGTTGTGGTATTCGAAACCATTTCCACGACTGTAAACATCATCGCAACAGTGACTGTGTTTTGTCCACAAAGTCAATCCAAGTTGTTCATATGCGACAACAGCACGTTGCACACACACGCAGACTGTCGATACGGAATGACAAGCAACAATCGACTTATTCCGTAGTCGTGCAATTGTTGACATAAATGCCATTGCGGTCAATGCTGTATCGACTGGTGTCGAACCTTGAATGAATGCTGCAACTCGCATTTGTTTATTGCGTTTTGCATCGAATGCGATGTGCACACTCAATAAACTTTGTGGTATTCTGGTCACATTCCGTATCAATCTGCAACGGATTACCAACATGCATACAATCAACAACACGATCAGATTATTAGTGGATCAATCTATTGCTGTCAAACTTGTAGTCATGACACAACTCGGTACAAATCAGGTCAAGTTTGATCCAGAAATTCCAACAAAAAACATCAACCCGACCACTGAACTGGCTGCTCGTTGACGGTTTGCTGATTATGTGGGTTTATTGTTGATGGGTAAGCGTGTAAACTGTCGTACACGCAATTTATACTGTGAGTTGATGGTCAAGTCTGGCAATCTGCATTCATGAACTTGTGTGCAAACAGTGTTTTGTTGGATCTCAAACATCCTGCAACTCGCACAGTTGTTTGCACAGTTGCTCGTCTATCAATCCAACTGGATCTGTAACTCTGTCAAGCAAATCCGTAGTGCAACCTGCTGATGTTGATGTGACTACAATAAACACGAAACTCACCGAAATAACACTTGCTGATCTGACAGGTCAATGAGTGACACTCTAACCATTAATACCAAACAAACAACCGTTTTGAATCAACTGTCATGACAATGGGTAACATTCGTGGTCATTTGGCATCCATCTCAAACCATCACATCAAACACATTTCCAAAATCGATTGCTGGACAACTCAATTCGGTGCACGAGTCCGCATTACTGTGCCAGAGTCATGTTCCGCACACACTATCCATCAACTCTGTCACCAATCATCCGTACAACAACTGACACATACACAAAAACTGTCAACGCAGGCATCCAACGACATCCTCACTGTGTGTTTCACTTCCTAATTGTTGTCAAATATTGTCAGTCAATGTGTCAAACATTGCCAGCAAACACTCGCTACTTTGACATATATTCAGCCAAACCGACTATGTGGATTATCCGAGACTTGCATTGCAACGGACAGTTTCAAGCACACAGTGTGTGGTTTCAATGTATTGCAACACTCGGCAACTGTTCCCGAACATCGAGACACCATTCGGTATTGACAAATGGTTTGGATTTGCAAAATGACTGTTTATGGCACCATAATTGTCGCAAACATTCCAAACTTTACACCTGACTGTGTTTGGACTGTTGGCTGTGTACATTGGACACTCGGCTGCATGCGACCATCAAACGCGAAATGTCTTGTCTGCCATTCAACATGTCCTGTCAACAGTTATTCCGTTTGACGATCACTCATCAGTGCTACTGTTTGCAAACTGGAACACTGAATATGCGCCATTACAACGCATCACACACGCATGAATACTGCGTTTGACTGTCATGCAGTATGCTGGCAATACTCCGACAGTAACATCACTCGAGTGAGCAGGACTGCATGTCATTGACACTCTATCAATCACTTTGTGTGTGACGAGACTGAACAAACACTTGTAGAATCTGCTCGTGTAGACATGAACATTGCGGTTGTTGATGATGTGTCATTTACACTTGCATCCGCACTAATACACATGCACCAACTCATTCAGTCCATTCCACTCATTCAACTGACATATCACAACTCTGCATATATGCCTATGATCGGATTGCAATGTTCACGATTGGTGGAATATATGCAGCGTTTGATGGATCATACACGGACACACACGAGCTATGCATTCAGTTATTGGATGCTGCCAATGC